TTACAATCTTAGATTAGGAAACGAGAATCGTGCCTGTATTTAGAGAGCGTACACCGTCCCAAGGTGATGTGTGTCCTTTCATGTAACGCCGACGCACTTTTCAGAGAAAGATTTAATTTTTGGCCCCTAGCTGCCCTCTTTCTCCTAGCCCACCCCCAATCATACTCCCCTTCAGATGTAGAGACCAAATGGCCGATTGACAAGTGAGTGACTCCTAAGTAAGGGTAGTAACCTGTCAGGAAGGGAGCGAGAACCCACAGCAAAAACTAACATCGCATGTAGCGTGACATTTACATGTAGGTTCATTGAGACGGGAGGCCTTCCGCCAGTTATCATCACAGCGGGCGCAGCCTTGGCCCACGAAGTGTAAGGTCCCGGGTCAGGTTTATTAGTCACTGCCTGGCTCCTCAGCGTCCTGCCTGCCTCCTGTGGAGAGGGCGTGTGTTTTGTGTGTTGTTTTCTTCACATTTCCAACCGGAAGCACCTTTGGCTTTGCAGCCCCCTGCTGTCACTTTGGGCTGTGCTGGGGATGGTGATACAAGGCCCACCAAATAAGCTCCACCCTGTTTTTTAAATTTCCAGGAGAGCAAATCAGAACTGTCTGAATATTTATTGTAGTGCTACACACCCAACAAGGTTGGTGGTCTCTGCCCTCTCGGAGCTTATAATTTACTGGGACAAATAAATGAGCAGCTACCATCGCAGTGCGAGTGAGATATCTACCTTTATGTACATATATGAATATATGTATAAATGCACATATATTTTTATGAGGCACTTGGGACTCTTCCCTGAAGTGGTAATACGTAAGCCTACCTTTGAAGTAGTAGTTGGATGAATAAGGGAGAGGTAATAACATGTGCTGAGGAAGGATGGCAGAAATGACAGGGCATTAGAGAACTAAGAAAACCTGAACGAGGAGAATGTGACGGGCTGAGTGGGAGGTTCAGGGCGGAGGTGGGGGGCTGTGAAGGTAACAGGGAGGGAGCTGGATCATGAGAAGCCTCGTGAAAAGTGGTGGGATGCTTTAAGCAGAGAAGCGACGTGGATGGTCAGATTTGAACTTAATGTCGTCAGTGAAGTTTTTGAATCGCTATGATGTGCTTCCGCAGCCACGGGCAGGAGAGGTAGGAAGCTGGTAAGTTAGTTGGGAGACTTTCCCAATAATCCACGCAAGAAGTGATGTGAGCTTGAACCAAAGCAGCCTGAGCAGGACTTGAGAGGAAGGGCTGGATTGGAGAGCATTAAGGAGATAGAATCTGCAGGACCTGGTGATGGGCGTTATAGCTGATGAGTGAGAGGGAGTTGAGGATGCCTCTCTGGGCATTTTGACTTGAGCAAGGGAATGTAATGAGAGAATGAAAGAGATCAGTTTGGGACCTTTTGCATTTTAAATGCTGTGGTATGCCCAGGTAGGGGGTCCAGCCCAACACCAGATACAGAGGTCTAAAACTTAGTAAGGATTCCTGGGTCAGAGATGTTCATTTGAGAGTTATCAGTGTCCGATGAGTTTCAAGGATTATGTATGCAGTCATGTCCTGTTAGGTGGTCATGCTGTTGTGTGAACAGCATAGAGTGCACTTACACAAACCTGGGTGGTACAGCCTGCTACTGTGATTGTATGTGTCATGCTTCATCTGACCGGCTGTGCAGTAGGCTTGTTTACACCAGCACCACCACAAACACTGAGTAATGCTTTGTACTGTGAGGTTAAGATGGCCTCAGAGTCACCAGCCAGTGAGGATTCTTCAGCTCTGTTATAATCTTATAGACCACCCTCGTCTATGCGGTCTGGCATTGACAGAAACATCTTTTGCAGTGGGTGGCTGCATAGTTGACTTGAACTGTATCTCACTCTCCCAGTCCAAGCCACCATCTGCTCTCACCTGGGCAGAGGCACCTGCCTCAGAGGCACCTGCCTTCTAACAGGTTTTCCTGCTTGCACTCTGGGTTTCTTGTAACTAGTTTCCAAAGGCAGCCAGAGTGAGTTCTTAGACATAGATTAGATGGTAACGTTCCCCTCTTTAGAAGTCTCTATGCTTCCAATTGCACTTTCATATAAAATCCAACATTCTTGCATGGCTCACAAGACCCCTGAGGCCCTGCCTCCTGCCACTTCCTGCACCTCAAGCTCCTCTCCCTGATTTCTTGTGCTTCAAACATACTTCGTGTTGTTAAACCAGCCAAGCGCATTGGCACCAGAGGCCTCTGCCCTTGCCCTTTTCTCTGCCTTGGATGCTCTATGCAGGTCTTTGCATGCCAGCTGCATCTTGTCATGCAAGTCTCAGCTCAAATGTCAACATCTCAGTGAGGCCTTTTCCACCATGTCATCTAAAGTAGTCACTCCCGCTCCCTCGGTCTCATTTGTTGCTCTCAATCATGTCATCTTGTTTATTTTCATCACCATGTCTGCACTGTCGAGTATGACAGTCTCTAGCCACATCGGCCTGTGGAGCCTTTGAAACGTGGCACATGCCACTGAGGAACTGAATTTTTAACTTTATTTAATTGACATAGCCCCGTGTGGCTATTGGCTGCCATATTGCATGGCACAGTGACAGGTGCTAAAAGTTAGGCACGTACAAATGGAATAGTTGTCCCAGGTCACACAGGGAAGGGTAGCCTTAGGATATGAACTCAATCCAGGTAGTTGGGGATATAATCGTACCCCACACTTCCAGGCTAATTTACAATATGCCTATGAGTTTGAAGATATTTAATTTATTACCTTTTTAAATCAAATTCTTGGGTTTATGTTTGTTGGTGTTATTATGGCTAACATCAGTTCAGGTAGAAAGTAAATGGAGAAAGAACCTATTACCCGGCCCCTTTGCCAAGACTATATTTTATAGTTTAAATCGTGCTTTAATTTACAAATAAAAATCAGGAAAATAGCTTGCCCTGCTGCGGGTAGTTTACTTGGAATTCTGGGAAATGCTAGGGCCATGGATTTCAGTAATCCCTCCGAGTCATCTTTTGCAAAACATCAGGTTTTGTAAAGAGCTCTTTATTAAAAAAAAAAAACCTGAACCTAAATTTTTGTGAGGATGAAATCTATAGAGTAAAAATGAAGTTTGTTGAGTGGGGTAAATAGTACCTGCCTTGCTCTGGCTGGTTTGGCTCAGTGGATAGAGCGTCGGCCTGCAGACTGAAGGGTCCCGGGTTCGACTCCGGTCAAGGGCACGTGCCTGAGTTGCAGGCTCGATCCCCAGGATCGTGCAGGAGGCAGCCCATCAATGATTCTCTCTCCTCATTGATGTTTCTCTCTATCCTCCTCCCTTCCTCTCTGAAATCAATAAAAAATACATTTTAAAAAAATAGTACCTGCCTTAAATTGCTGGTGGTGTTTAACTTTGCTTTTCTTCACTTTATTGGAGTTATAAATGATTACTTTGTTGGGAAGCAGAAATCATGAGATTATTTCTTTTCCTAGCTCATATAGTTTTAATTTCTTATCCCAGCTAATGTCTAGACAGAGGATATGGAAAACCAAAAGAAAGAAAACTCACTTTTCATGAACTATTTGTCCTAGATCAGTGATAATTTGAGAGGCTTATCAGTTGGGTTAATAATTCTTTTATTTTAATGTGAGCAGCTGCCATAGACATAGCGCTAGCTGGTGCCTGGGTATTTGAGTTGTCAGCGAATAGCAGCGTGACTTGGTTACTTTTTATCTTCAGTTATAAAATGAGGCTGTCCTCTGTTGCTTTAAAGGAGACATCGAACCCTACTGTTTCCCAGTGGTTTACATTAGTGAGAACCCATTATAATTGCTTCTACTAAATCAAAATTTAATATCTACTGAGCAGATAGTAAAATGTCTCCTACTTTGAAATTTCAGAGACGGGTGATGGTATAGGTCCCTACTTCACCTACAGTGGCATGATTTCCAGTGAGCCTGGACTTCTAGACTGGAGCTTTCTGATATTTATAACTGAGTTGGGCAGTAAATAAATAAGTAAATAATACCTTACGTTAGAATAGTATTCTGTGGAGGAAATGGAGTGCAAAACAGAACTCAAGGAGAAATAAGGACTTATAAAATTACTCTTAGAGAAAGTCATCATACTTTTTAATGGATGTTGGTGAGTATCATTTCCCTATGGTATTTAGAATCCATTGAATAAGTTGAAAAGGATGATATAAATTTATATTAAAATTTAAATGCCCATGTTTAGAATATATCAGAAATCACTTTTTTGTGTGTGCAAAGGATACATACTAGGGAAAAGTCTTTGGGAGTGTATATAAGCAAAAAGTGTGAAG